AGCGACCAGAGTCATGGAACGAATTAAGTTCGTGAACCGAGGTACCACTGTATATGGTATGGTGGGAAATGTGATCTGCTAGCTAGGGACTGGGCACCATTTGAAGCAGGTGTTTTCTAGTCCTTCAGTATTGACTCTAAGTGGAGTCACCCCTAAGTTTTGAGATGGGGCAATAACCACTGTCAGCAGGCACCTGTTCATGTTTAAGACACAGGGGTAATTCCCCAGAATTCCAAGCCACATCTGTTTACTAGGTATCTGGCTGCTAAACCCCCCAGTTCTCCAAGAACTGGGATCAGGATCTAGGGACACAGGGATGTTTTTAATCTCTTTTAAACAGAGATTACCATACATACTTGCGGATAAGCCCACCCGCAGATAAGCCATCCCTTGGATCTTCAATCAAACTACCATGAAAAATGTGCCACCCATGGATAAGCCAACCCTCAAAATTTTCATAATTTTAATTTTCATGATTGGCTTATATACCACAAGTATATAAACTATATAGGCAATCTCTGTTTAAAAGAGATTTTGGATATGTTTTGGAACCTAAAATCCTTGGCTTATCCACGAGTATGTACAGTACACTTTGCTGCCTGTATACTAATAACTATCACCTGGATAAAATGTAATCTTGTGGTAGAGTGTTTGTGGATGGGAGAAGAGGTCATGTTCTCCTGGGGAAAGGAAATCCATGCTACCTTTCCATCTCCACCACTCATCCTGTTCATTCACAGGTATTTGGAGAGGCATTTCCTCTTCCCTCCCTTGTACCTGTATTCTCCAAAGGTCTCATCCTTCATGGGCCTGGCCTCGGAATCCACCTGGGTATCTTCTTTGTCTTTCACTAGGGTAGAAAAGAGAGTATGTTACACAAGGCAAAAGGGTTGGTGGGCAGGGACCATCCAAAGCAGGACCTTGGGATGGGGGATGGGCAGGGGGATCTTCCAAGAAGCTTTAAAAACATGGAAAAGAGGAGCAGTGGGGTCTCTCAGTGGGGCTAGATTTCTCTTTAGCTCCTTGAAATAGGGGCAAAACCAGCAAAATGCAAGGGCCCGATGGGGAGGGTTGAGGAGCAACCCTGTAGCACTAGGAGGTTGGATTTTATCAGAATTGGGAGTGCCTGTGGAGAGTTAAAGGGACCGTTTGAAGAAGCATTTCTCCACCCATGTCATACCACAGCCTTCCCCAACCCAGTATTCTCCAGATGCATTGGAACTACAACTGCCAACACTCCCAGACAGAATATTCAGTAACAGCACTGGCTAGAAAGAAATAGCGATTTATGTCCCACACCTCTGAAGGGTGCAGGATTGGGGAAGACTGAAGTACACTAATCCATTGTCATCACTGGACAGTTTTTAAGACACTTTTGAAGCATTATAAAAAGAAGCAATAGTACTGTAAGAACAATGGCTCCATTGTTCTACTGCTACTACTATTACTATCTTCATTATCTTGTTTTATGTCTTGTATTTCTGCTCAAAGGCTCCTTTTTATTCTTGAATTAAAAATAACAAACAGATTTAATTTTTTCAGCTTCTTTGGCAAAGAGTGATGGGAGTTGTAGTTTTAGAAGCATGCTGAGAATCTGGTAGAAGAGCTCTCGCCAGCTATGTTTCCCAGTCAGTTTTCAAGGAAGTAGTCATGTGATGGAATGGAATTATGAAGGCCAGGCTCAGGGAGATAAGCGTGTTCTTAGTTCACC